AGTTATGTGTTAGCTAGAAAGTTTCAGTTTCTTAAAACTGAGTTAATAAAGAAGTGTTTGGGAATCTTGAATGGAAGAAGAATAGAGTTCTTGCTGATATTGCTGAGCTCGATCGTCTTAATGAGGTGGGACAGAGTGGGGAATCATTACGTTCTAAAAGAGCCTCTTGCCAAGCGGTTTTTGCTGAGATTGCTCTTGTGGAGGAGATTTCGTGACGCCAGAAGTCTCAGGCTTTGTGGTTAAAAGATGGGGATCGTAATACAAAATTCTTTCATAGACTTGCCAACGCTCACAGAAGATGTAATCACATCGGGCGTATCTGGGTCAATGGTTCTGAGTTGTGGAGGGAGGACGAGGTGCGCGGGGGAATCGTTTCTTTTTATCAGCAGCTCTACACTGAGACTTTGGATTGGAGACCTACTCTTGATGGTCTTCCTTTTAATTCTATTTATGCGTTGGATGGTGATAGGATTGAGACTCCATTCACGAAGGAGAAAGTGCCTTAAGCACTTTCTAGTTGTGGGGACAAAGCTCCAAGGCCAAATGGGTTTACTATGCGGTTTCTTAAGGAGAGTTGGGAGGTGGTGCGAGCTGAGGTAATGGGTACCTTTTAGGATTTTTATTCTCATGGCACATTTGAGAAATCACTGAACGCATCTTTTATTGCTCTCATTCCCAAGAAGGGCAGTGCCTTTGATATTAAGGACTTTCGGCCAATTAGCTTAATTGGATGTTTGTATAAGCTTATTGCCAAGGTTCTTGTTTCCATGATGAGTAATGTTTTGGATGGTCTCATTTCAGAATCACAGAATGCTTTTGTTGGTGGGAGGCAGATTTTGGATTCCGTTCTTATTGCAGGGGAATGTGTTCACTCTAGATTAAAAAGTTGAGTTTCTGGCGTTTTGTGTAAGCTTGATATTGAGAAAGCTTATGATCAGGTTAATGGGAAGTTTATTCTGTATCTGCTTCGGAGGATGGGGTTTGGTGGCAGGTGGATAAAATGGATTGAAACTTGTATCTCGTCAGTTATGTTTTATGTGCTAGTGAATGGTTCACCTGCGAGTTTTTTTGCTAGCTCACGTGGTCTGCGACAAGGAGACCCATTATTGTCTTTTCTTTTCCTTATTGTCATGGAAGGTCAAAGCAGATTAATGAGAAAAGCGGAATATTTGGGTTACATTAGGGGGTTCAGTGTTGGCAGAGATGTTGAACATCATATGCAGATCTCCCATTTGTTGTTCACGGATGATACTTTTGTTTTTTGTGATGCTGAAGTTTCTCAACTCAGATATCTGAGGTGCATTCTTGCTTGCTTCCAAGCGGTTTCTGGGTTAAAGATTAATGTTGGAAAAAGTGTGCTTGTCCCAGTGGGGGACGTTCCAGATATTTCCTCCTTAGCTGCTGTCCTAGGGTGTGGAGTTGGTGCTTTTCCTCTTCCTTACTTAGGATTGCCTTTGGGAGTTTCTTCTACACGAGTTGGGAATTGGGATCCAGTGATTAATAGATATGAGAAACGATTAGCAGGATGGAAAAAGCAGTATCTATCTAAGGGGGGGAAAGTCACACTCATTAAGAGTACTCTCTCATCCCTTCCTACCTACTTTTTATCTTTGTTTCAAATTCCATGCTCTTTTGCTGAAAGAATTGAAAAAATTCAGAGGGATTTTCTCTGGGGTGGAAGGGGAGAGAAGTTTAAGTATCATCTTGTTAATTCGGATCAAGTCTGCCAACCGTTGAGGTTAGGCGGGTTAGGCATTCGAAAAATCGTTCCGTTTAATCGTGCTCTCTTGGGAAAGTGGTTATGGAGATTTGGAAAGGAACGTCATCGTCAGTGGAGAAGAGTTGTCTCGTGTCGTTTTGGTGAGGAGAGTGAGGGCTGGTCATCTCTTCCAGTCACTATTACAGGAGGCATTGGTGTGTGGAAATTCATTCGGAAGGGTTGGGATGTTTTCTCCACACGCATTAGATTCAAAGTTCGTGATAGCAAACATGTCCGTTTTTGGGAGGACCTTTGGTGCAAAGATTAGTTGTTGTCTCACTCCTTTCCTAGACTTTACAGTATTGCAGCCAATAAGCATGTCTACGTGATTGATTGTTATCAACTTGATAACAATGGAGTTACGTGGGATGTGCGGTTTAGGCGCCCCTTTCAGGATTGGAAATGGAGGAAGCTTGTGTTTTTTTGGATATGTTGTATAGGCAAAAGGATATTGGCAGAGGGTGTGATGATATTTTGTGGGTTCCTTTAGCTCATAGTAGGTATGGTGTCCGATCCATGTTCTTGTGTTTGTCCAATTTCGTTGGTCACGAGTTCCCTTGGAAGTCTATTTGGCGTTCTAAAGCTCCTCTTCGAATCGCATTCTTCGTTTGGACTGCCACATTGGGAAAATTTTTGACATTAGACAATTTAAGAAAGAGAGGCAACATCATTGTTAATTGGTGTTGTTTATGTAAAGCTGATAGTTAATCCGTGGATCATATTCTTTTGCATTGTCCTGTGGTGTATGATTGTTGGAGTTTTATTTTTTGCATGTTTGGCGTTTTTTGGGTAATGCCTAAGCACTCCTCACAATTGATTAACGCTTGGAGAAGGTGTCCTATCAAAGAACAAGCTCGTGATTATTGGAGAATTGTTCCACATTGTGTCTGGTGGTGTTTGTGGCGTGAGAGAAATAACATATCCTTTGAAGGAAAAGAATCGTCTTTAGCTAATTTAAAAATTCATATTCTTCGTTCTTTGTTCTATTATGTAAGAGGAAATGCATGCTCCTCGATTGATGATTTCTTTGATCTCTTGGATTCTATTGGTCCTTAGATCTTTTTTCTTCTTGTATTAGGGACGTGTTCCCCTTTTGAACGTCTTTCTAATATATTTTTACTTATCAAAAAAAAAAAAAAAAGGGATGGATTAATGTGCTGTAGGAAATATATATATATATATATATATATATATTAGAAAGGTTCTTTAAGAATCAAGGGCAAAGTCCATTACTAAGAAAACTCAGGATGGAATGAGAAAATCCAGATTACCAAAAATTATGAATAAGAAAGGTTCTAAAGGTACAGATTACCAAAAAAGAAAAAATATATGTAGTAGTAAAGATGCAAGGTGTACAGAATAGGACAATGTTTATGTAAAATGCTGGAAAGACAACATATACAAACTTCCTAGTCAAAAGGATAGGAAACTAGAGGTCTTAATCATGTTGAACAAAGAGTGAGGATCCAAGGGTTAGGCAAAAGACAAGGAAATTAAATAAAGGTGAAAATGTTAATTTTAGAAATTGTTGAATGAAAATCACATGGAAGCTTTGACTTCAAAGAATATATTGATCCTAAGAGATTAGAAGGGAAAAAAAATCAAAAGATCAGAAGTCCAAGGTAATAAAAGAGTTAAGAAAGATGAACGATAGAATGGCTTTAAGATTACGTGAACTACAATAGAAGCAAACAAACATTTTACCTATATCAAAACATTTTACTTCAAGATTAGGATGATGGTGCATTTCAGCAAGTAAAATTTATTAAGATCATAACAAATAAAAGTGTTTGATGCGTGCTTGATAAGTGGAGAAAAAAGTATATTTTACCTATATAAAAAATATATACTCAAGGTTGTAAGAATTGCTACACAATTAAATGTATGATTTATGCTGTGAAACTTCAGAATTGACAGACGGAACAGCAAGCAACTAAGACTTCAAACAACATACTGAAAAACACATTTGGATTTAGGCAGGCAGATGAATAATGGAAGTCATCTACTTACGGATGATGGTAAGGTGCAGAGAAGAGAAGAACAGATCTCATATGGTCACTACAAACTTAGAGATAGTCCTGGTAAGTCACTGAATAGATAATATGGTGGCTATTAGAAAAGAAATGAGTCATAAATAGATATATTAACATAACAAAGGACATGTCGTAGCGGAATTGTGACTACAATATGAATGAAACAAATGAATACGAACAACAGTAGGCTTATATTAAGTATCAACGTTAAGCCTCTATTTTTCGCCTTAGACATGGATGGACTGATTACACATTCAGAGTGAGTTCCATTGTGTGTGATATCTTCTAAAAATATTATATTTGACTGAAGTAAAATATGGATAAATGCTAAATTAGATATTTGGAGGCAAGCATCAAAGTCGAATAGTGTTTAACAAGTAAACAAAACTAAATATTATGGAAAATAACAACGACTGCCAAGAGGGATGTTGTAAAAATCAAAGATCTACTAGAGATACTTAAGGGTCAACAATTATCTAACCCGTGCATCAAAGAAAGGGACAGATTGTAAATGAAGTTGTTAACAAGATTATTAAGCGGACAAATTGCCTTTAATGTATTGTACGATCATCACATGCCTATAAAGCTTAAAGGAAAATTCTATAAATTAGCCACTAGACCAGTAATACCTTTTAAAGACAAAATGCTAGGTGAATATGAGAAAAATGTATAAAAGAAAACATAGAAGAAATATGGATATTCAGATGGATGTGTGGTAAGATAAAAAGGATAAAATTGGAAATGGAAAACATTCTCGAGACAATGGAAGTAGGTTTATGGAAGAATCCGTTCAAGATAAAATGCAAGGGAACAGAGTAAGACTGTTTATGTATGTTCATCTAATACCACTAACTACCATAGTGAAGATCAATAGCGCCGCCCATATCAAGGGCAATGTGCTAAGGGAAGGGAAAGATCAAAATTAATCTGGATTGACATAGTAACAAAGGAAGGCATGGTAGCTTATGGTCTAAGAGAAATTATGGCCCCATACAAAGCAGAATGACAAAACAAGCAGCTAAAACAAATAGTTGGGATAAGATTAAGTTCTGGGAATTGAGTTGGGGAAAACTCATAAGTCATAATCGGCACTTCAACCATTTATCTACCTACCCCTCAACAGTGGCAGGAAATACCACTCAAGGTAACAGCTGAAGAAGAAAATTTCTATAAAATTTTACGATGATCAATGATAGAGAAGAACAAACCTTTAGATTGATATCTGATATCGGTGGAGAGCTAATTTCTTCTGAAATTGCAGCCTTGAAGTCTTCTAGCGTCCAGGTTGATGACAGTGAAATCTGCAAGCAATTCCAAAACATAAGATACGATACCTAAGTAGTTTAATAGCATATCAAAACAAAAGGTGACGAGATTGTACCTTTCGCAACTTCAATGCATCTTTTATTCGAGCTTTGTCCTCAGTATACTGAAAAGCATATATAGGTACATAAATAAATTCAGATGGCATCCAAACTTAACAACTCGTGGAAATACAACAATGCACCTATTGCAGTTTTACAAGCAATGCCTATTACTTATTTCAGGGCTGAGGGGTGGACAGAGCACAAAAAAAAAAAAAAAAACGCTTTGAAAGACGTGCAAAATATATTTCCAAATTTGCCTCTATTCTTTTTTTCAAAAAAAATATATATATCCATTTCCAAATTTTATCTACATTTATATCAAAGAAAACCTATCTTCCACCACAATAGACATTATTTAAACCTCTCTAGCTTTAATCTACCGGGCAGTCAAGAATCCTTTTTCTGTTTAGCGACCATCCACATCAACAACTACCATTATCACAGTTCACCCATAATAAGTCCTAAACAAACCTTTGTGCATGAATTTTTTTTTCCCAATTTAGCACACAAAGGGAAAATATTTTGGAACATACACTAGCAGCAATCGTGTACGCGGTTTGGATACTTCAAAGGAACAACACTTCCCTAATTAAAATCCAATCTAATTGATCCAGATTTTACAAAAATTTCCATATACAATCTGTTTTAGCATCTTCAGTGAAATAATAACCTTAACATGGATGTACTTTTTTTTCAAGATATAAATGATCCAAACAGATGTTAGTGTTGATCCTTCAGGTCATTATAGAATCATAGACTATCTCCTCTTTCCCATTTATAGTAAATCCATCAAAAGCATCCACTTGCAAATCACCCAGCAAAGTGCTCTACAGATGACCAATCCAGCACCATTATTTCCTTTCTGGTGCTGACATGAATAAATAACTTGTAACTGGAGTCGCTATATGAACCTAAAAGCTTAGTCAATTTAAAAAACATATTCTGCTACAAAAGAGGCATTTCCTTATTCTTATAAGTAAATTGTCAACACCATACCACATTACCACCAAAAAAAGGCATTTCTTAACCACGACGGATGTTATGAAGTTAGTCCTTTTATGTGAAATTATAAATTTGGTTGAAACTGTGATTCACCAAAAAAAAAAAAAATGGATTCTTTGGAGAGCATTCTTCCAGGGGTATCTACCCAAAATTCTACCGAAATGTGAATAGAAAATTACATTTGTATAGAAAGAGTACAAGAACCTAAAACAAAGCAAAACAAAAGCCATCTTACAATCTTATTGCACTAAATATATATATATATATATATATATATATATATATATATATATATATATATATATATATATATATTTGATAAGTCACTAAAAATATATATATATCATAAAGAATCTTCAGAATATATGGTGCTGAAGACATAACAAGATAGTGCCATTGCTGATCTTGGCTGGTTTAGTTATGGATGCAAGTATGTTACCTGTTTCTGCAGCTCCTCGGCAACATCTTCAAATAAATCTTTTGCAGTTGAACCTGAGGTATTTGATGACACTGCAACATATGCAGGTAAATCCTTAACCTGAAAACCAAAATAAAGTTAAATAAGAACACAAAGATTGCAGTTCTGGAGAGCCAAGTAATGTCAGCCATCCAATTCAGCAGAAACTAGATACATGTGGTTCCCTTAACAAAAGCAAACTGAATCAATAACCTTCATACAATAGTCGCGACAGTGAGTCTCAGCAGTGAGTGTGCCTTCAGCGACATGCAATTCCATCAACTTCCGGAACTCATCACGGTTTTTACGCTCCGCTTTTCTTGATTCTTCCTATTTAAATAAGAGACACAAATAAGAAAAGAAGAGAAAAGACAGAGAAAAGGTTATTCACTACCGCAGAAGGTCCATAGTTATGATACCATCCGCATTTTCCTCTGCTCCTCCTCTTCCTTCTCTAAATCACGTACATATTCCTGCAAAATGTAAAAATTAGATGGAACAACAATTTTGAAACTGAAATTACTTAATTGAGAAATATTACCTGAAAAATTTCCAACCGATCAATTTTTTCAAGACGCGAGCAACTTTCATCTGCCTCTAAGCGATCTTGAACTTTCCGCCACTGGCTGCTTGCCTGAAGAGGAGAGGTAACACGTGAAGTACAATAATCTTGATCTAAAAAACTCCAATTAGAAGACTTGTTTACTAAAATTGAAATATAAAATTAGCACAATGCTAAACATTACCGTTATAAAGTCACAAGATTTCAAAAATTTCAAGTATTCCGTTCTATTCCTCTTATGCTCCTCCAATGCCCTTGCCCGTGCCTAATCAAAATCCCAAAACAAGAGTATTAAGAGCACAACTGCTTTGGTGATGAGGTTCAACAATAATTTAAAAAATTAGTAAGCACATCAAACATAGCAACTATACTTGATAAATGTTAGCCAGTAGTCATAATATTTGACTGAAGCATACATCCACAAATAAAAAGAATAGTTCGACACTAGTTCTAAAATCACAAGGTTGTTTGTGTTTTTTCAGGAGATTTTTACCTCATAAATTTTCATATATAATAAAGAATATTAAAAAGTTTCAACATCACTGGGCCACTAGCCTGTTTGGTATAATCTCTCTACCCAAAGGGGAGGTTAAGAGCCGACCCACAAGGGGCGTGATGTGGGTATGTGCGCCATCACCATTACACAGGACTCATAAAACAAGGCAAAAGGGACTTCTAATTTTGTAAAGTACAACTTAACAAAGTATTTTCCCAACTATTTGGGGCCATTATATACATTATTACTTGAAGAAAACAAAAGGTAAGTATCATTTATGTGGATCCCTAAAAAGGTACTAGCTAGTACCTACTAATACCAATTTCTCACAATTCGTTTTGGCAAATGCAATTTAAAAAAATGATTCAATAAGAAGACTGCAGCAACAGAAGTCCCCAGAAATATAGACCTAACACAACCATCCCACCCAAACTATTTTATTAACCATTGACTTAAGATATATAAATGTTCAAGGAAATCAAAAATTGTGGCACCCAAAGGGTAGGGATGGGGTGATTGTGCTTATAAGAAAGAGTGAGGGATAACTATATCTGTAAAAAGAAAAGAGACGCAATGATAAGGAACACCAGCTTCTACCCAATGGGAATAATAACAAGAGTTGTGCTATTTAAACCTCCCAGTTCATTGCATCACACTGAAGAGGAGAGGTTGGCTTAGGATTCCAGCCCATCTCCTTGGTTTAAATAGCATGTGTCATTTTGTCACTAACGAAGTATTCAAGGAATCAAATCCATACGATCGATTGCCTATCTCACCATCATCTAAGTTAGGGGTTTATGTTTCCTTCTTGTTTACAAGTATACATAGCATCCATAAGACCTAGGGAAATGCTGAATTATTTATGAAAGACGTGAATTATTAGTTTCCCTTTTTTGTGTGTGTGTAATATGTTAAAACAGTTTTTGGCTAATTAAAATTTGAGAAAAGAAAACTAATAATAGTTCTATTATTCAATAGAAAAGTTGACTTCTTGCACATAGAAATTAGTTAATGTTGAAGAAAATCACCTTTTCCACGAGTTCCCCCATAAATTTTTCGAAGAAGTGTTCACGGTCTTTAGCTCTCTCAACAGCTCTGAAACGTTCATCATCTTCAAATAGAGCAATTGCTTTGCTGAATGATTGTTGAAAGTTTAATTAGTAAATGAAAATTATGAAGATATTGACCATACTACATACAAGATGTCAATGTTACATGAAATCTTCTAAATGTGTGAATACCTGTATTGGACAAGACACAACTCGATTAATTGAACATTCATCCAACAAGCTAGTATGATAATTTAAACTTACTATATAAATTATACAAAGAGCTCTATCATTGTAATCTCTTGTTCAAAAGTTGTTTCAAATAAGTGGAGTACCCAAGGAAATTAAAGAGAATTAAACAACTTCATGTCTAGCTAGTCTCCATGTCCGTGAAGTTGGAAAGTAGATAAATCCAACATGTACTCATACCCAACACAATATCCTAGTCTATATAACATAGGCAAAGATCAACCAATTATTTATGTCAAGAAGTTCAAATATACCACGATATACAAAACATAATCACATATCAGTATATGTGTGTGTGTGTGTGTGTGTGTGTGTGTATCAAAATCACATAAGGTAAGACATAAACCTCCATCTTGTGGATGACGTCAATTCTTTGGACTCCTGTGAAGAAATCAAGATAAAAATACATATTAAAATAATTATATCCTGTAAGAGTTATGGAAGGGATTTCAAATGCAGTGAAACAACTTACTTCTAACATTTTCTTAAAATCTTCACGTGCTTTTTTCTGCTTAGCACGCCTCTCTTCTACATCCTGTTTTTTCTTTTCTCCCAGGAACTGTAACATAAAATCATTAACATATGTAAACATATGGTAATAAACTAATAAAGAAAAGTTATAGCCTAATAGGTGGTAATTAAACAGTTTAAGAGAATAAACTCAAACATCATGTAGTAAGAACTTTGTTATGAAGTCCATCTATGTATGCATTTACCTCATTGAAAGCTTGCTTCCGTTCGCCAAGTGATCTCAGAGCACTATACCTTTTGTCATTAATTATTACTCTCATGGCCTGATTTGTCCACAATTGATGTCAAAGATTGGCAAAACTATGGGAATTACAGAAAATTTTGTATAGCACATAATTCACCTGATCCCAAGACCAATCTGACCCAATGTTTGCAGACTCCAGAAGTGCTTTAAATGCATTTTTTGCCTCCTTCGGGAAAAAAAAGGAATAGTTTAATACCCAATAAAAACAATATAAAAAATAGTATACAAGTCTAGTTCAAAATGATACCAGTTTACTTTCATAAACTACGGGTTGTTTATCAATTATTTTCTCCCCCGGTGCACTAACGTTGACTTCTCCAGCAATTACAGTATCTTTCTTGGCTTCCTTCAACGCATAAACCATGTCAAGTTGGAGCATAGTGGGTATCAAGAATTTGTCAATAAACACACAGCAATAGCTTATATCAGTTGAAGATAACTGGCTATACCTCTATATCCCCCGCAGAAATTCCATTTGCGGTAATTACAGTATCTTGATCTGATAAAGTACTCCTACAAGATAACATATTGAAAATGGAGTAAAACCTATAACAATAAAAAATATATATATCTGCAACATATAAATCCAGTTTCATCAGGAAATACTTTGACGTTGTAAGTGCATCTTCTGAAGTGATAGAAATCTCGGCACTTCCAGCAACAGAAGCAATTGGTGTGACATTTTGATCAGATGTCTGCACTTCAACAGCATTTGTTGTCAAAGTAGACTGTGTAACAGATGAGACAGGAGATTCCGAAGCCACCACCGGTTGTGGGTTAATTGCAGCAACGACAGGTGTCACTGGAATTGGACTTGACACTACGCCGCAAGCTGGGGAAGATGAAGTATCTGCTTCAGGGGATGGAACTTCAACAGCGGAGAAGGAAGAAGCAACTGAGGCATGAGAATCTGCATTCTTTTCCACCTGTGATTCATTGATAGATGCCATTTTTGCTCGAGCTAACTGTAAGCACATATATTTTAAGCCCGATAAGAGAATAGTGAAAGAAAAAGAGAATTAGTAGACAGGTTTTTCAGGGGATGAAACCTTGAGTTCATCAGGAATTGTCCACTTGGATTGCTTGGTGACCTTGTTGTAGTAGTACCTGCAAACACATTACAATTTATCAAAGTGGTTCATAAATTGCACACTTGAAAACCCAATGACTCCAAAGAGTACAAATGAGAAAGTCAAAATGAATCAAACACACTTTCTTCCATCGGGACTTGTAAACTCTTTCCAGTCAGTTGATGCATCCGCCCTCTGTTAGTTAACAGAAATTGAATTAGTGGCAATTACTGTAGAACACAAAAGATGTTGCAAGTCATAGTAGGACATAATTAGAATTTAGACAAGGATATAAACAACAGGCCATATAAGGTGCCGAGGGAAGCAAACCAAACAAGTTTACAAGACAAGCAAAGGCAGAGGCCAACAAAAAAGCAATATTAGTTATAAGGGTGGATGAATGTAAAGGACATTATACTGCAAAGTAGTAGATCAACGAAAAAAAGGATTTAACCAATCCTGCATCTCTAAATAGCAGAAAGTGAAAAAAATTGGCATGCCAAAGAACAAACTTCCAGTTCAATTCTATTCCCCCCCCAAAAAAAAAAAAAAATTTGTTCAAGATGCATACCAGAGAACAGAGTAGAGATTAAATTAGAAAAATGCTAGAATAACAACATACGGGGTGAATATTTGAGAACCGCATCTGAAGAAGAGAACCCCGGGCCCAGCCAGGTATGAAAGGAAAGTGAATCCTGTGATTAATGCAGAACAGCCCTAATCACCACCACAAAGGAAAACACAATTTCCTTTTCCAGCAAGCATATAGTACAGTAACACCAATATACAAAGAGGTTACACATGAGAAAAAAAAGAAGCTACAAGTATAAAAGTAAACATAAAAGCCGAGTACACGCAACACAGTTCTACCATCCATTAGGCCACTATTGGTCATCCTAATAGTAGTCGCAGAGGAAGCATCTAAGTTCCTTGACATAACTAATTCCATTATACAGTCGTTGATATTCAAGACACGTGCAACGCCTAAATTCTGCCATATATTGAGCTGTAATTACAATAATAAATTTAAAACTTCAAATTTGAATCCAGTTCCTTTGTTCTCCCCAATAATTGTAAACACTCAAAACACAAAAATATTTATTACCATAGGATAAAACTCAAGGGTTATTAGACTCATCACTCAGTGAACTAGACACTGTTGACCTAGGCCCTAGGGTGTTAACAGGCGTAACCCAGGTACAGACCTACATCTGGCATTATATGCAAAAATTGTCTATAGTCAGATGATCAGATCTGAACCTACATTCTCATGCTTGCAGCCCGATACTTGCACTGAACCTAGTAATGGCCACACCCCTACCATGAATTTAATTACAAAAAACAAGAGATAAAGAAGCTAAACTAACACAAGATTTGAGATTCAAAAACAAGCTTGGCTTCATGCAACAACTTTAAGGACACTTGATCAATTGCAGAAAATAAGAGAGAACAAAAAGAGAGGCTTGACATGGATGTGAAAAGGTTCGTGTTACAAACTCCTATAGAGCCAGTAGCAACAACCACTGCAGTGCCTCATCCTTCAATTTGTATCCTGACTCTGTTATTTCATAATTCACAATGCTAAAGGAGTCCACTCAGCTAAATCCTTCTCACCTAAAAAACCTCCAAAAAACCACAAGTATCGACAGCCCGCATGCCTGCTGCTCAAGCACATTACCCTCCAAAACTAAATGCCATGTGCCCATATCAATATCTCTTTGTGAAAGAAGTTCAAGCAGATCCAATGAATAAAATTAAGAAATTACAAACATTGTGTCCATCACATGTTAACCCTATTTTTACAGGTTCTTCCATCATTCAATCATCTAAAAAATGAGTTTTGCTACATGTTCATCATCAATACTAAGAGGCTATATGCGAAAGATACCTTAATATTTGATCAATTAAAAAGTAAATATGATCTGACTATTTGATAATCAACCTATACTACGTAACGAATAGTGTCGAAAATGATGTTTTCACAGATTTTGAGTTCAATGGCTAAAGTAGAGATACATTTCTTCGATATTCTTGTTTTATAATAAGGATGTAGTAACCTTTGTGTTAATGAGTATTTGTTGTAGAAAATTAGACACCAGATATGCATGAAACTCCCTTTCAGAATTTAAGAGTTATAAAACATGACAAGGTTTTACGCATAAAATTGTCCCTAACACAACATTTTCAATTCGTATTAATGACCCTACACACAAACCAAAATTTCATGGTAGATATACTTATTGAATTTGAACAATTAGGGATACACAGAGTGTAGAAACATAATCTTTAATTTCTTTGAAAAGAAATGGAAACATAATATTAGAAGTAAAGAGATACAAGTAACAATTTAAAAAAAATAAAAAAAATTCCTTTCTTTTGGTAGCAATAGGGAAGGCCTTATTTAATTACTAAAGCAACAATGAATAATAAATTCTAGAGATCAAAAACATAATTTTAATGACAGAATGTGCTAACATTGAAGCAATTCAGTAGGTAGTGCAACAAGCAAAGACCTACGGCCTATGTTACTTGGACTCAACACTTTACCCTGGATTATCCATGTCAAAACGATGTGAGGACATGGGTGCGAGATACGATTATGGACATGGCTGTTCATCTGAACTGGAGAAGAAGAAGAAGTGGAAGAGGAAAAGAAAGGAAGAAAGACCGACCATCAATTCATCTTCGTCCAAGCCAGAAACATAGCTGGAATGCTTTTTCAAAGGTTTTCCAATTAAAAGTCATTTCTACATGATCGTTTCTTGTTTAACTATAAAAAGCTATAATTGTAGTTTGTTTTTTTTTTTATAAGTAAAAAGCTATAATTGTAGTTTACCCCAAATCTTTCTGTAATTTCAGAATTACCCAGATAACTATACTTATTCTCATAATTTTCCAGTATTTTATGTTTTCTTTTTTCAACTTTACCTTCCTCATTGTTAAAATCATTTTAAACAGTGTATATACATTATTTCAGGGACTCTTCGACACATTATCTGTGTTCACGTATCCCAAATTTTGAGTATTAGAAGGATTTAATGCCTAGACATGCACACGTAACTGACACCTGTACCCGAGTTCGGGTAACCTATCCCACAGCATATCCTACCTCTCAATAGAGTGTCACAGAGTTTAGTCCTTTACCTGTAAGCACCTTAAAAACTATACAAGTCAACGGAGTTATAGAGGGAAAATAAAGCATCCAAAAGAAAAACTTCAACGTAAGAATCATCCACCGTCGGACTGTAGACCATGAAGGAAGTGGATTCGTAACAGTTGTCGAATATAAAAATGCTTATAGCAGTAAAAGTAAGAACAACAGAATATATAAGAATATGTTCTTGTGAAATCTGAAATGCATGTCCAAATTTATTTGATTTGATATCGAAAATGCCACTGGTTCACAAAAGAAATGATGTTAACAAATTTCTGTGAAATCAATTATTTAAGATTGTTGATCCCACATAATTTAATAATGCAGTGTTAAGCACCGGAGGGGAGAAATCTGCTCCAATAAAAATGTTATGCAATGTTAGGTTGTAGCATGGGAAGTGACTATATATTTTTTTCTATCAAAAAGATTTCTCTTAAGTTAACATGCCAACTAATTTTTTTCATTCAGCAAATTATCTATATTTAAATGAATTGAATTTGCGTTAAGGAGGAGTTTCCCAAAGAAATTTATACCAAACCAAACGGAAAGATACATTAAATCTAAAGCGATCATAATACAATAGTAATAACCTCAAGAAACAAAAGATCTCTTTATGTATAAGAAGTCAAATTTGCATATGTAACAAAGTGAAATGAGAAAGAAAATAATTATGTATAGAAAGAAGTTTGATCAAATTAAGATGTTATGTGAAAAACAACCCATTTGATATGTGACTCACCTCAAGTAATGTCATTAATTCTAGAGGCTTCTCCCAGCTAGATGATCCTGTCTTTCTGTTATAATAATATCTGAATAGAACACAAAGAAAAAAATTATAGTCAATTAAAATGTAGTAAGAAAACAATGAACATAAATCATTACACACACCGATATCAGTCTCTTTTCTGGAAATAATGGTGTTTTAAGAAAAGGACACCTTTTCAGTACAACCTTTGCGAAGTTATCCTTTTAAAAGTGAGAAAGAGATCAAGTGTCGTCAAAAACAATTAACGTGTCTCAACATAAGAAATAATATGAGTAAAAAATAGGATGTTTTGGACTTTTGGTGGTAAAAAGAGACTCAGCTTGGGATAGAGGACCATAACTCATCAGTACAGTCAAGAGACTTGTGTATTATTGTAAGAAGTGATAGCAGGAGAGAAAAGAATGTGGACCATCCAAGGTGTGACCTATCACCCCTACGTTCATATGGACAGAAGAGGGGCAGAAGGTGCCAGGCCCACCCAGGGGGAACCAACACATAACCCAGATTTCCTTTATATTTGTGGCAAATGTAAATAGTAACATCAATTACTATAATATCGGGAATATTTTTATCCTCTGAATTATTTTGTTTATTCATTGTTATGATTGCCTATAGGGAGTGGAGTTTCTCCTGCAATTCCTATAAAGTTGTAGAAATCTGTAATAATAGTGGAAGAAATTGAGTCCATCATTAGGTCAACACTTTATGACTAGCCACATAATAACAGACAAGCAGCATCCCACAAAGGGCCATTCAAGAATGAACAATTACGCATTAGCAATACAGGACAGTGCTAGAACCCTTGAAACAATGATAGTCTTGCAAAAAAAATGTATGCAAACCTAAGATGAACTGCACCTAAAAGAATTAAATACCTTCTTCCATCACGAGAAACATGCTCTTTCCAGTCTGATGAACCCTTTTCAATGAGGTTAGGCTGGGCAGTTGTTGTCTGAAATTTAAACAAGATATTATATATAAAGAAATCTTCATAGATAACATACAAATGCAGTAGCAAAGGAGCAGAAAAAATTCTTAAGTAGCATGGATAAAGCGTATAACAATTAAACAGATGGGGTACTCACTGGAATTACAGTAGCAATAACTGAAGATTGTTCACCAGTCTGCTGAACAGGTGTGACAGAAATTAGACTCTGGCTTCCGGCTGACAACCAAGGTTGTCCAGTAGCAGGGGGCAGATTCATCTGGGATATCGGCTGGTACTGGGTCATGGCATCAGAATTTATTTGTAGTTGGCCACACGAAGGCACGGAATACTGAAACAATAAATTCAATAAGGGTAAGTTCAGAAGAAATTCAGTGAGTCCAATTTGTCAACCAAGAGCGCACTTGCAAAATCTTACAGAATAGGACAAAGAGGGAGGCATTCTCGGGCCACCCAAATTAGGCATATAATTATTTGGAATCTGAGCATTTTGCTGAGACTGAGGTGAAATAAATGCACTAGGCCTGTTTGGATGGGCATCTGCCACTGGAATTGCCTGTGATGGAAGCAGATTATGTCCTGCCTGAACGGGTCTTGCGGGTAGCTGCTGCATAGGTTGAGAAAACTGGTGTTGCTGAGTGTGAGGAGGCAATCCAATATTAATCTGGACAACAGGCTGAAATTGTTGAGAAGCCACTGGCATATAGGGTTGTGACTGCTGTGCTGGAACCTCAGTTCGAAACTGCAGGAATGTTTAATTACATAGGCTGGTTTGGATTTTATTTTAAGTAAAATAAAAAAAATAAAAAAATAAAAAAGAAGGTACATCTCTCAATCAAACTAAGAAAAATAATTATAATAACCTACTTGCATTGGCATTGACGGACGAGTGCCTTGAGGAGGACCAGCAACAAAAACAGGAGGTCGAAGAGGCTATCACAGCAACAAAAAGAGAGCCAGCAATAAGCAAAAAAGATATATTAACATGGCATATATACCATTGTAAATAGTAAGTCATTAAATGTTGTACTAAAATAAATAAAAGAAAATTTCTGAAATGTAGGGAGTAATTGACCAAGTGTTAACCGATTAATGAGTATACGTATACATGTGTGTGTGTGTATTTGTGTGTGTGTGTGTGTGTGTGTGTGAGTAAGAGAAGATGATGACAATGCTGATGGTTGTTTTCCTCGTGTTTCAAAGGTGGAATCTGTGAGTGCCACCTAAAACATTAAATTCAGTGGTTCAGGAAGAACAGAACCAACCTTCCTTGTTAGGGCAAACTGTGTTTGGGTCTTGAGAGTGGGCAAGTACGGGTAAGGTGTTAACATAGTAAAATATCTATCCTACCCCTCTGTATAATGATCGGAGTTTTTCTACTTAGGAAAGGACATTCTCGAACTTTGAAGCTTTAAATTTTCTATTTTTGTATGAGTAACATATGGTATGTAATGTCCGCAACAAAATCTAAAAAATATGCCATCTTTACTACAAAATATAACGAATATGTAATGTTAATCAACTTTATTGACATCTACTAACCCAAGAAAATGATAAATAACTATATTAATTGATAAATTAATTGTCAATGTTGCTTTAGTTATTGTGATGTTGTGGCCCAAATTTGGTGTCGGGTCCCCGTTGGATGAGCTTTGTGACTGTTTGCTTGTGGGTCATGGACCCTAAGTAGTACTCTCTTGTAGCCCGAAATGTAAGGGTGTTTAGGGTTTGAAGTGGAGATTGAGAGACATTGAAATCGCATAGAAGAGAGTGAGAACGAGAACTAGGGTTTGGTGGCTGAAACTTGTAATCTCCAAATTTTAGCATATTGATGGACCTTCACCGTGGATGTAGGCTTTGCCGAACCATGCTAAATCTTTGTGTTCTTTGTGTTCTTTGTGTGTGGCGTGTTTACTTTTTGTCTTGTTTCGTGATTGTTGCTTGTTGCTTGGGTTCGCTGCGTTTGTCGTAACAATAATATTTATATTAGGGTAAACTCAAACCCTTTGAAGTCCCCAATTCTTTTTTAAAAAAATTAAATGAGATAGAAGTAAGCAACTGGTAGAGAGAGAAAGAGGGACGACAGTAGAACTGATAAAAAAAAAAAATTTTAAAAAAAAAAAGTTAATAAAACAAAATTAATAATTTTGATTCTGTGAATGAGAAACTTAATTTTCGGTCACTTTATGAACATGTCTAAGCAATAAGATAGGCAAGAATGACACATCCCAAGACTGCCACCCTTACCCTCCTAACAAAGCCTTGTCCTATGAACTGAATTCCCCAATCACTGCTTCAAGGAAGCATGAGAACCCTTTAAAAAAATATTAGCATACAAACTATATAATTTCTAGAAAAAATCTTTTAATGATATACCTGTATGCCAGAAAATTGAGCATTATTAGCCATTCCAGCAAAGAGACAAGTCTCTGTGAGCAATCTTCACTAATACGACCTAAAATACACAATAATACAGTAAGTACAATATCATCAAAAAGAGATAAAATGGAACATTGGTTAACCGCATTATACATAAGAAAATGCTGACAGCTATGTTAAATCTTTCCAAACAAATACATGCTACAAAATGCCAAAATTGTTTTCAGAAGAACGTAAAACAAAGAGACAATAATGAAATTTCAAATATTTTTCCATAATTTAAAAAAAAAAAAAGAATGGATGGGGAAATGTTAGCAAGCTGCATTATTGAAAATTTATTATGACAAGAAATGCATCATTAAAAAACAAAAGGTTAAGACCTCTTTCGGAATTTCTTTATAAAATAGATAAAGGAAAAAGAAAAAGAATAAAATAAACAATATTCTAGCAATAATAAGCTTCTAGAAACAAAATTTATAAAATCTATTCTTCCATGGCCCCCTTTATTGAAAAGAAGAGTAAATCCAGGAAATAAATAAATAAATTGGTTTAGGGAAAGAAAATCTATTCACAATTGGACTTCTTCTTTTTAAATAATTTCTTTCCTGGAAAAGCTTACACCAAATAACCCACCAAATAACCGAGACTAAGCACAAAATGGACCATAGTCAAAATATATGTCAAAAAAATAATAATAAATAAATAAATAAAAATGGGAACTTTTCATGCTTAGACTCAACTTTGCCCATTATAAATTAAAGAACAGGAATTGGACGACCGTCTATCCCACAAGCAATTAGATTTCTTTTCTGATAAAACAAAAGTGCAGCTCAATCATCAAACTCCAGATGTCTAAACAAGAATTCAAACAAAAGCCCCAAATTCAATGATCTCAATTACCGGTTCTAAAGAATCTGAACAAATTGTTCACTTACTAAGCCCTATAAACAACTTCAAGCCCTAATTGTTCCATCCGACAACTTGTAGTTACAAAATCAGTGTTGGACTTTGTGACCAATTAGGAAAAAAGAAAAAAGAAAAAAAAAAAAAAAATTGTGACTGAAGAAAGATTTGTAGTCGAGATACAGATAGATGTAGAGTTTGTAGTGTAATTGTATGTGGTGATGATTGAGAAAAGTATCGAACCAGTTACGGTAGGGAAGATCGAAAGAGTTGCAGAGTGCGAACTGCGAAGTGCCGCGCAAGTGGCTTATGTCTGTCAGAGTTTGATGACTCTTTGAGACGAAACTGATGGCAAAAGGAGATTTATATAGAGTAGGATGGGAAATTTGTAATTACATATTTGTCCTTCTCGTTTGCGTTTATTATTCAACTAACCCTTTTTTTTTTTCTTTTTTTTTTCTTTTTCTATTTTTCCCATTTTGGGAAAGTGGAGAAAAATAATAATAATCTTCTTTTTTTTTTTTCTTTTTTTTTTTTTCGAACATACAATAATAATCTTTCTTATGCGCTATGTTGAGTAGGAAAATAGGAAGGAAAGAAGAGGAGTGAATGGAAAATAGGAAGAAAATATCAAGTTTCTTTTGTTCTGTAAAGAAGAGGAGATAATAAGATAAAAGATAATAGGAAGCATAAGTCATCCCTCCTCATTTACAAATTTCTATCCCTCCAAATATGGGCCCTCTAAATATGGACGGAAGACAAGTGGTGCTATTATGGAAGTTTTAAATTACAATATTATCTTAAATTATATAATTTTAAATTGCAATACTATACTCTATAAATTACAATATTATAGATAATGATGGGTATAATGGTAAAAATAATTAAAAACTCTAACCTTCCTTCTCCACTAACAAACACAATAAATTATGAATTTATTCACTTTTATTTCATCAAATCCAACAAAAAGTAAGAAATACATAATCTCTTCTCTAGGTCTAAAATGCTTCATCCATCCCCCATTCTCTCTCAAACTAGACAAAGCATGAATATTTGGATAAATAAACTTTCTGTACTACTGTACCCATCGATTTAGGGGTACATCTCGAGCGTCTTCCAATTTTATTTTTTTGAAGTGTAGGTTGAATTCGAATGGTTGCAATAATAAATGAAATTACATTAATTATTAGCATATGTAATAACAAATGGATCAAAAAGTAATTAATTTTTTTGAAAAAAAAAATTTGAACCCTCTAACATATGGTTCATTGAATTTTGTAATTTAGACAATAATTAAGGGATGTGATTTTGGGTTACTTAATTGGTCCAGATTGTAATCGTGTTGACACACTAATTAAACGTGACATATTTGTGTGTGACCCACCAACTCGTTTATGACTGCATTTACTAAACTTGTGATTTTTGTGTTAAAAGTGACTCATTTAACTAAATGTATAATATTTGTGTAAAAAATAACTTAATCATGTATAATCGTATCATTTCGTGTCGTCAAATTTCAACCCATATATTAAATGATTAAGGGTGTTTGTGTTGTGTTACCCGTGTAATAATAGAATCGGGTTTATGTCAAAATTTCTCAACACAAATAATAATTGTGTTGTATTCATGTCAACACATTTAACAATATACTCGTATCATGCTCATTTTTACTACGACGCGTTACACACATACACATATATGACATTACCACCCCTAACAATAGCTCAAATCTTGGAAAAAAACAAAAAAACAAAAAAAAACGAATCCTTACTTCTCAACCCAAACTCGAATTAAATGGTAATCTACCCATCACAAACCCAAACATTTTTGGACTGGGCTCCGCTTTGAACCGTGGAGTTCAAGCCCTACGTGGTTTTTTTTGGTCCAAGACTGGTTGACTAAGTTTCGGCCAGACTGCGTTCGTTGACCACTAAGATATTACGTATAAATAACACAAAAAAAAAAGATTCGGAAACCACTCAAAAATCAATCACAAACCCTAACCTAGAATCCAAATTTCAGAAAGAACAAGAAGTAAGCTTAGATTTTCATTACCCACAAAGTAGGAATATTACTAGGTTGTTTCGAATCGTGGAAGTATGAGATCGAAGAGGACCCAAAAAATCAAACGCAGGTTCGCTCCCGTGAGTTAGCAACTTAAAACTTCATCACACGAAAGATCTCAAGAAAGTTTTTGTGAAGGAGGTGGGTGACAGTGGTGATTTTTATTTTTATTTTATTGTTTTTTTTTATTTTTTTTATGACCCTGAAACAAGGCCTTTTAGGATCCCACCCATGACGTCAAACTGGGGTAATGTAGCATAGCCCCGTAGTCACACACCGAATGAATCGAGAACATAAGATAATGAGTCGAGAACATAAGAGGCTTGAGAGGTTCGAACACTGGGCATGTGAAGTGCAAGCGCCAAGCTCCTACCATCACTGCTACGCCCCTAGGGGTGACAGTGGTGATCTTGATCGCAAGCTTTTGGTGATTGCTGTTCATATTGTTCTGATAGAGTCTGGTTTTGTCAGGTATGATTCTGTTTCAAGGACGATCACAAACACTATTTATGTTCCAAACCAATGGTCTTCGATTGGTTTAACTACGTCATTTTACTACACCATCCCTCGGATTTTTGGTGATGGGTGTTCTGAAAAGGTAGAGGTTGTTGTATTAACGTTTCAAAGAATAGGTTGTGTTGTTAGAATTAAAGGTCATTGTTTGGGAAAGAACATGGGTCAATTGTATCAAATGGTCCTGCACGAAGAACAATTGGTTCTCTTCGCGTTGGCGAATTGTGATGCAATTGATTGGGAAAGTGGAAAGAATTGGTACTGTGAATTTTTGAAGACTGTGAAGGCCAAATTTGCCTTGCCACTCTTAAACAGATTTATGTGAGGAGGCTGGTTTGGCTCCATTGTGCTGCCTCCCGGCTGATCTTAAGCTTAGGATTTTAAAGTTGCTCCGCGAGGAGCTTAAGAGGAAAAGAAAGAGAAAGAATGAAAAAAAGCTGTTCCGTCCGATAAAGTATCATAATAAGAAATGCGCAAGACAAAGGATCATCCAACGTCAAACTCTGATTCGGAATAAGTGGGGAATTTAGCCGTGCCCTTGCAACGAGAACAAAATTTCCTGAGTGAAGTTGAGTTGAATGTGATACATTATCCCTCAGAGACAGTGTAATCCAAACAAGGTTCTAGGAATTGTGTGGAGATAATCCTTGATATCATGTTTTGAGTGCTGAAAACTTGATCATGATTGAGCTCCAACAATGAATCCCCTCCGAAGTAGTACAATAGAAGTAAGTTTATGTACTAATAAGTGTTCATCAGGTCTTCTGCTAGAGAAAAGATGGTTGGAACCTCTATTTGATGCGTAAATATTTGCATGGTTTTAATAGTTACATGGCTTCACTTCAACTGATGTTGGTGTTTATTGTGAATGCTTTGACAATGATGAAGTTTGGTTTTCTGCATGCTAATATATTGTGTGGGCAATACTTGATTTTAACTTTCAGGTCCTATGATTTGACATGACAATTATCCGTGGTATCGTATTATGGGCAATTTTGATGCATAGATTTGTAGCTTGAATAGTTTAAATAGCTTAAATATGTTCTGTGGTTAACAGTGGAGATTTCTAGAATTGTTGTTTGTGTTTGATTTCTAATTGTTTCCTTCATTGGAATTCTTTAAAGGGAGTTGCCTTTAGGTACCCTGCCCTCAATATATAGCTAGAGATATATAGCTAGAGAGATATAGTTTCATATGATGAAGCTGACTAGTCAAATGGAATGGTGGCCTTCAACTTTCATAAGTTGTGCAAGCATAGCTTATCTTATCTTTCATAATTTACGCGTGTAAAGGACCATCAGTCTGCTTATTTAGTTAGTATTAGACTTAGGAACACATTTAGTAGATGCAAGTAAATTTGCCCGATTTGCTTTGCACTATTAGCTTATTCCAAAAACATATAGTGACCCGGCAATAGGAGAAGAGCTTATCAAAAGAAAAATGGAGAGGGAACAGTAAAAAGAATGTCAAATTGAGATAAATACAAGCCCTTAAATGTTTTTTATTCTTTATTTATTATTTTTTTTTTATGTTGATTTATTTGCAAGATGTCAAATTATATCCAGCAGCATTTCATCTAAAAAATGAGTGTTTGCTTACACCATGTTATTTGGTTTTAATTATCAGTCCAATTTGTTTGACATTGTTGTGAATGCTGAAATTCATTCGACCATATTTAGTGGAGGTATTGCCACAAAAGCTGGCAAAGTTGAAATGATGTCACTCTTATGTGAGAATAAGAGTTTTAAATTTAAGGTTGGTCAACTCAGTTAATGGGTTGAAATACTTTGTAATAGCCTTCTTTTACATTCAACAACATTGTCATACACTAAATGATGTTAGATATTCAGTAAAACTCAGTGCAAATGCCTTAATGGTTGACTTTACGAGTATGTAAATGACAAGATGAATAAGTTTTTCAATACAGGTTTAAAGGTAGGCTTTTCAGGATTCCAATCAATTTATGTCTTCATTTTTAATGAGAAAAAAAAGAGGAGAAAAACTAATGAATGCTTGCCTTTTGATGATGCATATATTGCCACTTTAACTGAATTATAAGACAGAGATTTGAAAATATGTTGTTTAATCTTAGCTCTGGTATCCCTTCCATGCAACGATCAGTTACTGTAATGTTATGTGTGTGATTATGTCAAACAAAAAGATAGCACCAGGATCATCTTGAATAGAATAGGATATAAGGTGTTTACATCTCTGAAGATGCAAGGAATTCATTTCCATTTTCTCTCTCTAGAATTCTTACACTTCAACAGAATGAATCTCTCTCCCCATTACTTCTCATATTTATAGGTATTTACAAACATTAATGGGTTGCTAGATCTGGGCCCGTTCCTCTGTGGGCTTTGGTCATCTTCGATGGGCTATTCGCGTTTGGCCCATATGGCAGTATTTCTTTATGGGCTGGACCCAGCTGCTCGGACCGGATGCCATGTTCGCGGGTCATATCCGGCCCATATCACTTCTGGCCTCCTCAATTGCCCCCATAATTACTCCCTATTTAATAAGGGGGTAATTATCAAAGGCGTTTCATCATGACGTTGACGGCTCAAGACACTCTTATGGAGGAATGGACGGTCGGATCCGGAATCAATGTTCCGAGATTCGATAAACTTCTCGCCTCTCTGACGCTTCGGCCCTTGGGTCCACTTTGTCTTTACGAGGCTCTAGAATGTCACTTCATGCCTTTTTACCATCTCCATCTCTCTCCATCATCAGTCAAATCTCTCGCTTGTCTTTTTAGAACCGTGCTAA